AATCATAAAATAATCCATTAAACCATACCATGGCTCCAGTGACCCGATAACGTCATAAAGATTAACGAAGGGCACCCATAGTCAATGAGTAATTTATCCGTAATAATTCAATAATCCCAGAGGGTTCACCAGGCTGCCGTCTCATACATATTTTCACAGAATGCCCATAATGCAATGCGCAGACTTATTTATACAGGAGGAACGTTGTGTGAGAAAAAAAGAAAAACAGCCATAAAGTATATGAAAAACCCAATGACCAAAACCATATAGAACATCATGGTAATGTCATCTCAAAAGTCATTTTCAATCATTTTGAAGCTGCAACTTTCATCAAAATAGTAGATGGTGATGCTGATATGAAGGTTCTTATTCAAGCACTTTATGTTGTAGGGTGACAACATTCTATCCATATCTGCTAAATGTGCTCCAGCATTGTCACACTTTCTTTCGATGGAGATTACAAGTGGCCATTTAAACATGATCGCAAGTAAGATCTACCTGTCCAAGATGGGCAGATCGTACGAGCTTTTAATTACTTAACAACCATTGCACGACTCAAGTCAGGCAGCCAGGGGAGAGAGCGAAGAGAGGCAGCCAGGGGAGAGAGCAAAGAGAGGCAGCCAGGGGAGAGAGCAAAGATGAGAGCGAGGAGACAGCAGGGGAGAGTGAGGAGACAAGCAGGAGAGAGAGAGAGCAGAGACAGCCAGGAGAGAGAGTAGAGTGATGAGAGACAGGCAGGGGAGAGATTGAGGAGAGACAGCCAGGAGAGAGAGAGAGTAGAGTGATGAGAGACAGGCAGGAGAGAGAGAGAGTAGAGTGATGAGAGACAGGCAGGAGAGAGAGACAGCCAGGAGAGAGAGTGAAGAGAGACAGCCAGGAGAGAGAGAGTAGAGTGATGAGAGACAGCCAGGAGAGAGAGTGAGGAGAGACAGCCAGGAGTGTGAGGAGAAATAGCGAGCAACACATCTGCCTGAAGCAGAACCTCTGCGGCCTTCAAGGCTTATCTGCACCCTGTGTTTCAGACACCTCCATGCTCCCTGCGTTCCAGCGTCCCTCCGTGTTCGTGCCTCCTCCATGCTCTCAAGTTGGAAAACCAGGACCATGTGGTTGCCCCTGTCCGCCTCACATCGTGACATCTTGTGTCCAGGTTTCAGCTCGCCTGGAACCCGGACACAGCACATACGGGACTCAAAACTCGGGTGAATCCCGGAAAGGCGGCACCCCTACTCTCTGCACATCACACAGTGAATGAAAGGTCCCATGGTGCCCTGCACTCACAGTATGTCCTCAGTCATCTAAGTTAGATGACACTGGGCATTATTCACCCCCATAAGACTAAGGATATCTTGTGTCATAAAGACTTTACTGCATACGGTAGCTCTGTAAGAACTTTTTTATTCACCTGCTGATGGGAAATTTTCTTTTAAAAAATTTAGCTCAAAGTTGGTCTTTAAGCTTAATTTTTTTCCATTTTAAAAAAGAACATTAAAAAGAATATTGCTGCCATTATCCTGTATCCAATGCTCCATTCTAAAATACTTTTAAAGAAACTATAACAATAATATATTAGTTTTCAATGTTTTTTTCTCCGAATCCTCAGGTTCAGAGGACATTTTGAAGACTAGCAAAACAGTTCTTTCACAATGTGATGGAGAAGTCTGTATTTCACAGTAATAAGCTACAGGCAATTTGCTTCTCCTCTTAAGAGAACAACTGACAGTTGGCAATTGTGAGCGACTGAAAGCTTTGAGATTAATTTTCTCTAAACACTTACCTTCATTAGTTTAATGATAGGCCTGAAATCCCCAAATTACCTGAAATACAGTGGTACCTTGGGTCACGAACGCTTCTGTTCGCGAACAATTCGGTTAGCGAACAGGATGTTCAGCAAAATTTTGCTTCCGTTTTCGAACTCCGCATCGGGTGACGAACACAACCGCAGCCATCTTCCTTGCTCTGACACTGGTCGTGGCTTCCTCTAATCGAGATCGCAGCCTGATCACAGTTTGATTCGAGACCAATTCGGTTCGCGACCAGAATCGTGGAACGAATTAGGTTTGTGAACCTAGGTACCACTGTATTTGTCTATATGCTGCCCTTTCTACCTTCTATCAACAGAAAGCTGCCATGATTAAATCGATTGTGTCGGGGTTACAGAAAATCCTGAAAGAAAGGTCAGTGCAGTAGAAGAGGTAATATACTCTCACCTCCCTGGTGGCCTGTGTTTCCTACCTCCCCTCCGTTCCAGAGATCAGGCTCCATCGGTCTCTTTAGAATATCACATTTCTGGGAGTGTCAGATGCCTGTTTCCAGCCACATGCTATGGTTCATTCCTCCGACCCCTGTATCACTGTTGAGTCCTGTGGTGATGTAGATTTCAGAGGAAGGAACCACAGTATGTACTGGGGAGCAAAGGCATCTGACACTACTGGAAGTGTTGAATGCTAAAGAGATAAATAGATGATGCAGCACTGAAAGAAATGGAAGAAATTGGCCCCACAAGAGACAAGTATAAGAGCTCTTTTAGCTATTTTAGGGCACCTTACTTTATAATATTCTATTACCCTGGCAGGACTGCTTTAAAGTGAACCTGTGAGGACAGAAATATGACAACTATGGTTTTTAAAGGCACTGACTGCGGTGTTGTCACCTAATCCTCATTTCACTACCTTGTGTTTCACTGGCCTGGTACGAGAATGTAGCCAGTGATCCAAAAAGTCTGAACTTGCATCCTGCATGCTCCAAATCAATGACTGATTAGGTAGTAAGGTCAAAATCAGGGTGACAGCCATGTGCCCTGAAGTGACAAGGAGGTCGGCGGGGGAAAACAAGGAGCGCTGCGGGGGAACCAAGGAGATCGACCATAACGAAAGTGTCAGTTTGCAACCTTGGAGAATTTTTCTGAAATGGAGCAATGTTCTGACATAAGTATTCAGTTCCTTCTTTTGCTGATATTACTGAATATTTTTATTAGGGTTGTACAGATACCAAGTACAGTACTTGGTACAAGTACATGTACAAATACTTTTGAGCTCCAAGACTACACTAGAGAAAAATTCAAAAATTAGGAGGCAGCTGTCATTTGTAAGGAGCACACGGAGCTCCTGGGATTTGTACATCTGTTTTAATGTACGATTTTGTTCTTATAAATATAAATAAAGGGATGTACAGATACCAGTTTTGCGAGTACGAGTACTGTTACTTGCCGAGTACTTACAAGTACGAGTACTGATACATTTTTGTTTATTGTCATGTAACAGTTTTTCTAAAACAATACAGACTAATGATTTCAGGACAGTGGTGGAGGGCCAGAGCCAGGTCCCAGCTGCAACCTCTGCAACCCTGGTAGTTCTCATGAGAATGCCAAGTATCTGCACTGGTACTCGAAAAGTATCTGTGCATCCCTAATTTTTATATCAGAGTAATTTTAAACACAGTACAGCCAGGTCCCTGACTTACACTGCAGCAGCAATACATAATAAAAAGTGAAAGAGAAGCAGCACAGAATCCTCACTCTGCCAACTCCTCCTGTCACCGTGTTCACTCTAAGCACATTTAAACTGTAGCAGAGTTTGACTGGCTCCTAGTGCTGCCCTTCCCACTCCCATTGCTTACAGACGTCTTGATAGCTACTCCATATATGATAAAAACAATTGCACAAACCCAGGTTACCCCGACTAAAACCCACTTGCTACAATTATTGTTCAATATATAGGAATATAGATGGCTGTCAACTTGAGATTGGCCCCATTCCCCCACTTTCCTATTGGTCCTTTAAAATGATGGCTGACCTCATTAACCAATAGGGAGGTTTTAGTGGTGGAAGAGTCAAGTTCACCTTTTATAGAAAAGTTAAGGTTTGCATATACTTTTAGCTGCCTGCACTGTACAGGATATCTGGACCTATGAATGCTTGTAAAATGTGGTTTTCACTTCTGCTTTCATATTTTCATGACACTCTGTATGAGCTACCCATCAGACCGGCATCAGACCATCATAAAATAATAATCATAAAATATGTATAACCACGTATTGATTTTCATTAAAAAAGGCAAGTAAAAACATGTAAAGAAAAGCTTTAATTAACCACTTGAGGACTGGCATGTTACACTCCCTTCCTGTTCGGGCCATTTTTCAGTGCTGTGATTCTTGACTGACAATTACTGCATTACAACACCTTGCCCGAGTGGACATTTAGGCCCAATTCAACTGGATTAGCACCCGTTTTTCAATGGATGCCAATGCAAGGACACCTGAAAATCAATGGGTGTGAATGGGAGCAGTTCACACCAGTGCGTTGCGTTGAGCTGCCCTCTGCTGAAAGTAGAGCAGGAGCTACATTTTTTCAGACTGTTGTGAACTGCACAAGGCAGAACCAATACCTTTATATAGCTTAGAGTGAAAACCAACCAAAAAAACCCAACCCTCTCACAAAAAAAAACATAATGCAACCCAACAATTGTCAACACGCTATGCAAACTTAAGTCAATGTACCTCTGTTTGGCTCAATTCTGGAGTGAATGCACCCTTATTGATGTGGATTGCGGGATTTTGTATTGTTAATATGTTACACTGATGTATTGTGGTATATTTTAAGTAGGTTATAAGGGGGTAGTGCTCCACTGACTGTTATATTAGGTAATACAACTATGATTGCCTTATGGGATCAGGAAGGAATTTTTTTCCCCTGTTGGAGCAAATTAAACAATGCTTTATAGGTTTTTTTTTGCCTTCCTCTGGATCAACAGTGGGAAATTGTGGGCATAGCGTTCTGCTTAGGCTTTTTTTTAAAAAATCTCTATAGGTTGTACTTGATGGACATGTGTCTTTTTTCAAACTGATTAACTATGTAACTATGATAGGGATAGTGGGGGGCTCAGAAAAACAAAAACTGTTGTGACAGGATATCATTTTTGATCTGCCCATAGGTCACTTTAGTGAAAGGTCTACTTTATCAGCTGATTTTTTTTTTTGGGGGGGGGGGGGGTGATATTTGCAGAATGTAAACATTTCATGCTTTCCATCTGAACTGGCACTTCCTCATCATTCCTCCACATTTAGTGGGGCGACGGGGTTAAATAACGGTCTTTCTCTTCTGACTTGTAACTTCACATAATTAGCCTCAAAATCTTTCTTAGTCCCATTAAGTACCTCCAAGTCTTGGTCCTTTATTTGGCGGCCTAACGCTTTCACTTTTCTAGCTCTAAACTGTATAATTTGTGGAGTGAGCTCTAAAATGTTGGGGTACTCCTTAACTTGGCTTATGGAGGCGCCTTCTTGGATTAAATGTTTCAATCGATCTTCGAGCAGTGGAACCGAATAATAAAGAAGAGCTGGACATTTCATAACTAGCCGCCTCAGCTCTTCATCGCCACAGTCAAAGGTAGTTTTCGTAAACAGAACACCCAGTTTCATATTGCTGCAGGTCATGTCAAAGATAAAACCTTTAAGCTTGGACATAAGCTTCAATACTTCTGCATCTGTAAAACCTAAATTCTGTAGAAATGTCACGTTCTCCTTAAAGGCCGCAGAGGACCTGGAGAGCACAAATGGATCTTGACTTAACAATTTCTTTAACCAAGTTTTAAAGTTTTCCTTTGTTCCTCCCAGACGACAGTAATTTTCCCCCAGAGCATCGATGATTTTCTTATTGTCTTCAATCTGATTACAAAAGATCTGCGTAGCGCTTGTTAACAGCCTGCAAACTATTTTGTTGCTAAGTCCCAGGTCTTGGAAGTACCTGATGTTGTCTTGTTGGTTTTTGAAACTCTTATAACCAAAGAAAGAATCGGGGAACTTTTCAATAATTGTGATCAGCTCCTGATCTTTGGGACACACCAAGTTCCAGATGGATTTTTGGACTTTGATCTCTGCAGGCTCCTGTAGAAAAGCCTCAGGACAAGACTCTAGAATATTGGCCACCATCATGGTGTTTGCTCCCATTTCTTTCAGGATATCAGCTGTCTCTTCGACGTAAGCCTCCTCTTTACAAAGAACCCAACCTTTTAAATGGCGAATCTTTTTACAATTGACAGACAAATTATAGAGGCTTTCAACCGTTTTTTGGTTTTCTTCTCCAAAGTTTTGCCCATCTGTACCTGATTTTGAGGCAGTATATGTCCTGCTAACCACCATAATAGGTACATGAAAATGTCTGCATTGAAAAGACGTTCTCCTCGGCCCAATGTGGCATCTTAAAACAGTACTGGCAATAGTTTTCAACATAATGGCCTTCTAGTGTTCAAGGCAACAGTCTAAAATTCATCCTAGAAAAAGAACAAAAGCAACATAAAATTAGGGCAGAACAAAACAGAAAGCCAATATACAAAGATAAGTCATAAACCTGCCAGTCTACCCAAAATTTAGAGTGATACAATATACTGCATCAGTAAAAGGAAAACTGTTCTGATATGAATTAGACTGGAAACAGGTTGTTGGTCATAGCTCAGTATGTAAGGACAGCTATAGGCCTTGTACATGCAGTCTTCAGCCTATATAAGGGTTAGTTCACACCATATGCAGTGCGTTCCGGTCCGATTCTGGCCAGAACGCACTGCACTGCATTGCGGGCGGCTCACTTTTTTGCCGGGCTGGAGGGGGCGTGCAAGCTGCAAACACTATTTTGATTGCACAATGTGCCTTGCGATCCCGTGCGGGCGATTGCATTGCGGCCGGAGGGCATGCCTACGGTGCCATTCCAGTAAAATAAAAGTTTTAACCCTTTCAACCTCTCTCCTCTCCTATGTATGTCAGCTCTATTCTATCTCTATTCTGATCCCTTCACCTCCCTTATCCTGCACATCAGTACATTAACTCCTTCATCTCTATCCTTCCACTGTATGTGACCTGTACATTAATGCCTTCAGCCCCTCATCCCTCTGTGTATAATCTGTATATTTATTATATCTTGTGCACCAAACTCCATGTTTTAACCCCTCAATACCAGCATGTTCTTCATTTTTTTTTAAATTGCGGCAAACATAAAAAAAATCAGATCACACTGGAGTGTCTACTTTCCAAAAAGTGTTCATTTTGGGGTTTTCGTAAAAAATATCCTGACATTTTTATTTGGTATGTTTTATAACAGAAAGTAAGGGAAACATTTGTTTTCAATTATCTCGGGACGCCTCAGGTCAGATGGAAAAAGTGCAACAGAATCCTCCATCTACGCTAAACTGTGTGGATGGAGGGATCTCCCACTGGGCCAAGCTTCAGTATCTTGCTAGTCGGCCCCGCTGGCTCTCAAAACACCTGAACAATCTGATTGGATGCAGGCTTTGTTCAGGTATTTTGACAGCCAACTAGCAAGATACCAAAGCTTGGCCCAGTGGGAGATTCCTCCCACTATGTTTCTATTGGGACTGTGAAATGATCTAAAGTGTTGGTGCAGGTTATCTTGATCATATCTATGTATTACACTGCTCTGCCTATGGACAGTTTCCATCACAGTTACTGCATGGACATCTATGGGTTTGATGGTTTCATAGTTGAAATGAATGAAATGGGTGAAAATCAGTGCAAAATTCTCTTTGACCGGCTTGGAAATTCTTTTGGGCGGCACCTTTTTAAATGTATTCTTAAAGCTGAAGTCCAGGCAAATGTAAAAGTACCAAATGTATACGTCTCTGTACTCAATAACACTTTATCAAATGTATTTTGTAAATGCAAGCAGTGTAAGCCCTTGTATTTGACCAGGTATCAGCCTCTTGCAATCCCTGTACAGCAGAGCTCAGACTGGGGGAAGGAGGGGCAGCACAAGGAGCCAATCAATTGTGCTGCTCTAGTAACAAGGGACATACTGACTGAAGGAGATAGCAGAGTGCATCATCCTCTGTGTTGTGTGAATGGGACACATAGAAAACCCTCCCTAAAAGGGGATTTGTAATGGCTGGAAGGGACTCTCCTACCACTGCTCAGTGTACTGCACAGACACATGTTGATCTATTTGTTAATCTGACTTATCTATGTAGTTAAATGAATACATGAGCTACAATGACAGATCCAAGAAGTATACCGATCTTTGCAGTATATCCACTGATAATTAGCACTCTGTGTACTGTACTGGCACAGCATACTGTTACCTGCACTGCTGTCAGAAGTCCCATCTGTCCCTTGTCACCGGACATCACTAGAACTACATACCCTGCACTCTAATTGGTCAGGTCCCTTTAAAACCCGATGTATTCTGGGAACTGTAGTTTCTTGGTAAGAGTTGCCTATGGGGGCAAAGGGACGAACGCACTATAATCCCACATTGCATTGCGCTTTGCCATTATTTATGACACCGAATCGCAACTCTTTCTGAAAGGAATTTAAACCTTCTTTGTACGGGAAAGTTGCTTCTCTATTTCTGAGACGTGGTTGGGGGCCACCTAATGTTTATTCGGCTTTTTTGAAGATGCCCTGAATGGTATACCTCTTCAAAGATGGCTGCAGCGCTATCGGGGTATCTGTATTGTGATAGGGTATGGATGAACACGTGACAATTTAAGCCTTCCCCGGTTGTTTGCAGGTTGTGTTGTGTAAGCTGTGCCCTGTGCTGTTTTTTCTGTACTGTCTCCTGCTTTAAAGAGACCCTGTCATCACATCCTACGTTCTAAATAAAGCTCAGAAAGCAGAATACTTGTTATACATGATGTTTCTTTTGTTAAAGAGTAAATCTGCTTGGTTTTGATTTGCAGAAAGTTTGGCAAATGCTGTTTGAAAATCCTGAAACCCGAATTTAGCGGCGAATCCCGTTGAGGTCTTTAGGTGGATAATCTTGTGAAGCTGGGGACAGCCATGGGGGACAGGTACCAATGCAAATCCAAATTGTTATGTGGCTTTGTGGACAACCTTCAATATAGACAAATCTGTTAAACAATATGCTTGAGAGAAAAATTTGGTCAATGATGTCATTCAGGATTCCCAGTGATAAATTTACATAACCACAGCCGGGAATCTGTCATTTATTGGCGGGAGTGTGACATGTACAGATCAGCAGTCAATAAGTCATCATTGACCTCTGCCCTATTTTCTGGAACTTCTTTGCCTTAGCAATGTCTCTACTTGCCCTGGGGTTGTCTGCAGTCCTGTTGCCTCCATTGATTGTCTGGTACGCTGCTTAATCAGTTTCTTGCCTGTGTTGGTGTGGTTCGCAGTCCTGCTGCCTTGTCCGGTCCAGTGTTCATCTGGTATGCTCCTGACCTGTTTTCCGGTCTGCCCTGGTTTGATACACAGTCCTAGGTCCTTCTCTGTCCGCATAGTTCCTGTCCTCCCTGCTGCCACTGTTACGTTCCTGTGCCCTACCATTTCTTTACACGTTAGACAGAGCAGGGTGAACCTAGGGATTGAGACCTGGGGTCAGGACTCAGCTTAGTCCAAACTTCCTTAATTTAATCTCTGGGGAACACAGGCTGGCCCCTTGACTCCTCACCCAGGGAAACCCACATCCCCTGCCCACATGTGGGTGCATTGTTTTTACCTTTGTCTCAATTAGAAATTACCAGAAGAGGACAGGGCTATAACATGCAAGGAGGGAGGGCGCTGTGCTAGGTAGGTAAATTTGCTAGCATGTTCAGAGGCACATTGCAAGTCCATCATGTTTAGGAAAAATGCTGCAAGTAAATACTTGAGTTTTTTGTGCTTTAAAGTGGACCTTTACCCCCTTTGACTAAAAATCACATCAGCATACAGCTCTGCATGCTGATATGAAATCATCTTACATTCATCAGCTAAACAAACATATTTTTATTTTACTTACAATTTTTTGTTTCCACTTCCTGGTCCTCTTTGGCACAAATGATGAAATGTGCCCAAGTGTGGCATCCTGGGAAGGTTACATCAGCAGAGCATTGCTGATACATCTCATATGTAATCTCATGAGATCTCAGGGAAAGGCATTTTCCTCCCCTGAGATGACATGCATAGTCACATGTCCTAGTCCTAGTCATATGCTAGAGTTCAAGGAAGTAAACAGAGAACTAGTAACCTGCCCTTAGTTAAAATGGCCACTGTCAGAAGACTGGGGAGGAAAAGGTGGAAAACGAAGGTGTGCACACAAAAAGAAAAATATGTTTGTAGATTGTCATTACTAAACATTTCTAAAGGTGTCTTTGTTGTTATTTTGAAGACATGAATAAAGTTCCTGTTTAACCTGCAGTTTTTTTAAGTTGGTGACAGAGTTTCTTCAATGTTAATCCTCAGTATTGTTTGTGTATGATGCTGACACAATCCATGTAAAGCAAACCTGCTCTATTTCATTATAGGGTAAATCACAGGTTTACTAAGTAGCCCACCCCCACCCTTCTTGACTGATATTTTCCTATACAGAGCTCCCTCGCTGCTCCTTTTGCCCCATGGCTGCTCTATGAAAAACCTGGGGCTTCCAGATATGGGGGAGCATGTCACTCTTTCCCATATATTTTGTGAGTGCCTCAGCTGTTAGTTGCCTGGGTGTTGAATTGGGTCCTTAAAGTGTTTCTACTGCCATCTTTGTTTTCTTTCTTATTAGACAGGGTAAGCAAGGATTAGAACTTCTGTCAGATCTTCATCGCTATCTCTGTTCTTGGTGGGGAGATTCACCCTCTCTTTCTGTTCTGGGGACCACTGTCACTGGGACTGAAGGTGTGGGAAAATCTCGAATAATAAATCGTCACCTAAGCAGGAACAGAGAGGAAATCCAGTTGGAACATTTTTCATGGTGACAGCTGTCTAAGAGAGGATTTCCCTTACTTAGGAGAGATGATTTCTCGCTTCCTGTAGTGTTTCGAGACATGAAATGAAGAATAAACTCTCCAATCCGACGGTTTTAACCATTTCATACTTAATTCCATTAGGCTTTAGATATACAGTAGTTTAATGTAAGTTCCAGGTTGAATTTAAATATATAAAGGGGCTCTAATTGGTGAACGAGGGAGCAAATGGACAATAGGTATCTGCAGGAGAGAAGGTGGCTGTACACCAAACCTATTACTTTGGTCTGAATGTCCAAAGTACAGGTCCTCTTTTAACTGCTAAATACTTCCTTGGAGTGGGAATTATGTTTTAATATAATTCAGCTGCCCGTAGGACAAGCAGGAGAGACAGTGAGGGGGATATTGACTTTCTGTCCAGGATTAAATACCATTTGGATGGAGATAGGGGGATGGCAAGCTGACACATATTTTAATATCGTGCCAGTTGTTAATGTCTCTTTCATTGATGCGCTGCTTCACACTTATGATGACTTTCTTTTGCCAGAAGAGAGAAAACATTTTGCAAATGAGGGGACAAGCTGCTTGGGGCTTGTCTCAATAGTGCAGCCATAAATAATGAATGGCAGCACAGTGACAGTTACCAGCATCGGCTTCATGGGGAAGGCAATACATTGCTTATAGAAGGATCCTTTAAGTCTCAACAGTGTAATTGATTTCTAGCAAGGGTCATGAATTATGCACAGCTGTAAAGTGACAACTGCTAGAATTTCTTATTACTCCAAAATTTAATACATCTAGCGCATAATAGGAATATATAATTAGGGTGAGATTACCGTGAGGAGCTAGGGAGGTAACTAGCTTCCCATATCATTATTTATGCCGGTAACCAAACTTGCTTCCATTTACAAAGGCAAACCTGGGCAATCAAACATTGAACTGGGATTACAAATGAGTAAACATTGCAGGTGTTTCATGTCATCCACTGGAGCCATGTTCATCGTTCAACCTACCTCTACTGCACCAAACTGTGTGTGGGAGGCCACAGTAGGGTGGTGTTCAAAATCAAGGAACACATCAACCTGCCTTTTTGAAAGCACAGATTACTTGCAATACAAAAGATGATCATATTAGTGACTATTCGTAAATAGCTAGCAGGGCAAATGTCTGCAGTAGGTGAATACACCTACATTAGGGCCACTTAGCAGTTAGGCAACCATCTCCACAGTTCTAAAGAGGAGTTTGTTAATAGTGTGCCTCAACACCACAGCTGACCAGTTACTGAATCACAAAGGCCTTGTTCGTATGGGCTTCCACTCAGCACTGGATTTACTCTCCCTGCTGCCCCAAGGCCAGGTTCCTCAATGCGCCCCCCTCCTCGCCAAACCCTCCCCAATCCCAATGGAGAATGCCAACTGGATAGCGGGGGCGGCAGGGGGAGTTTGAATTTTTTTATTGTTTCTTTATTTTTTTAAACTTTTTAAATCACTTTTTTTATTTATTTATTTACTTTTTAAAATTTGTATTTATCTTATTTTTTACTGTTTTTATTTTTTATAATTTTTATCTTATTATTTATTTTTTATAATTATTTTCTTATTCTTTTTATATAATTTTGTTACTTTTTATTTATTTTTTACTTTATTTTTTTAATTGAATTATTATTACTTATTATTTTTTACTTATTTTTTAAAATTGTTATTTATGTAATTATTTTTTTTATCAATTTTTTTTTATATCTGGGGACCTGTGGCACATGGGCAAGTTGTGATTAACTCCATATGATTTGTGATACATTGTGATTAACTCCAATGTTATTTAATCACAAAATATATGCATAGTGTATACTTTACAAAAAAATTGCCGTGATGTGCTACAATGTTCGGGTTTGGTTTGAAGAAAAGGTGGCAACCCTACTCGCGGTTGCTATAGTAGATTTATTGATCATCCTTGTGAAGAATGAAACTGGAAGCAACAAGCTTTTCCTCACTTCCGGTTTTAGAGATGTCATTCCCTGCCTGCTGTGGCTGAGAAATAAGCTAATAAAGCACGATACGTGCTTAATTAGCTTCATTGGAGTGCAAAGATGACATGAGGGATCTAAAAGACACCTAATGCTGCCTCCAATGTGTCCTCCAAAGGGGTTGATAAGCCCACTATGTGATAGTAATAAAGGCAAATACAAAAAAAGTGTACAAATGTAAAGTTTAAATAAACCAATAAACACCCCCAGTTTTTTTAAAGCCCCTGTCCCCATGTACAAACACATGCAAACCTTCAGGTCTACCTATGTGTGAAAACGATAATAGCAGCAAACATATTAGGTATCGCTGCACAAGCCAGAGTGAAAGCAGTAATTCTAGGGCTATTATTCATGGTTATGGCAAAATTTATGACCTGTAAAAGCTTTAAAAATGTCACCTATATACACAGTTTTGGCATGCCTGGTATCTGTTTACCCAACACAACCTT